CACGGCAGTTAGGGCAGCCAGATCCTACCTGGCCGACTTTGCTATTTGAGTCCTGGACCTGGGGGCTTTAAAAACACGCCATGCGCGTGCACATGTGTGCCCAAAATCCCGAGAGCAGAGGAGAAGGGATTGCGGTGTGGCCACCCCCTGCAGGGTGCTTTCTCATACCCCCGCCTCTCTCTGTCTCTCTCTCCAGTCAGTGCACATGCTCTCTGGCAAATGAAAACAATTTAATCCCTATAAAAACTGAAGTGTAGACGTAATTAGTAGTCACTCCTATTGTGCAGAGGAAGAAAGCAAGACCCAGAGAAGGTAAGGAACTTGTCCAAGGTCACACAGCCAGTGAGTGGCAGAGCCAGGATTCAGCTTAATGCCTGCCTAATCCAGATTCTTTTTTTTTTTTTGGAGAGGTTTTCGCTATCGGGCACATGCGCTTGCCAGACAGAGACAGACAGAAAGCGAGAAATTACCCCCCAGGGGGGATGGTCACGCCACAATCCCTTCCCCTCCATTCTCCTCTTGGGATCTTGGGCACACATGCACACACGCCGGCGTGAGTTTTAAGCCACCGGGACGTGAACCGCGGTCGACTACATGGGAGTCCAGCAACATAGCCATTACGCTAATTGCTAGTTCCCCCTAATCCAAATTCTTTTTTTTTTTTTTTGAGAGATTTTCGCTATAGGGCGCGTGCGCTCGCCAGACAGACAGAGAGAGACAGAGAGACAGAAAGCGAGAAATCACCCCCCAGGGGGGATGGCCACACCGCAATCCCTTCTCCTCCATTCTCCTCTTGGGATCTTGGGCACACGCACACGCGCCCGGAGTGAGTTTTAAGCCACCAGGTCCAGGACGCGAACCGCGGTCGACTACGTGGGAGTCTAGCAACATAGCCATTACGCTAACTGCTGGTCCCCTAATCCAGATTCTTGACTTTCAGCATGACTGTCTCCTGCCCCCGTCCGCTGTCCCCTTGCTTAGACACCCAACTGCTGTCAGCCCCTCCATCTCCAGACTTGCAAGGAGCTCAGGGCATAGCTGGGCTGGTGAAGGGCCAGGGTCCTGGGCAGAGGGCTTTCAGGCTGAGCTGGCTGCTTGTCCCTTCCCCAGGGCATGTCCCTAGACTGTGTGGAGATCTCTCTGGGTCGTGTGTTTGCCAGTGGCCAGGCCTATGTGGCCCTCTCTCGGGCCCGCAGCCTGCAGGGCCTGCGTGTGCTGGACTTTGACCCCACAGTGGTGCGCTGTGACCCCCGTGTGCTACGCTTCTATGCCACCCTGCGGCAGGACCGCGGCCTCAGCCCGGTAAGGGGCAGTCACCTAGTGGAAGGCTGGGTGGCCGTGGGAAGACAGAGGGAAGTCCCAGTGGGACCCTGTGGTGGGGATGGCAGAGCCTCCTTAGGGGTGGAGGAAGGAGGACAGAGATGCTGGCCCCAGGCCGTGGCCCCGGGAGCAGCACTGGTTTGTGACTGGGTCCTCTGCCTCTGATCCAGGAGTGTCCTGATGATGATGAGGCAGCCTCAGACCAGGAGAACATGGACCCGAACCTCTGAGCCTCACTGTGAGGACACAGCAGGGCCTTCCAGTCCCCTGCTCCCTAGCGGGCCAGGCCCCAGGGACCAAGCAGGGGAAGGGCCCGTGCTCCTCTCCGCATTCCACAGGGCCCTTGGTGTGGCAGGGTTACAGGGAGAGTGCTGCCCGCCCTCTTACCAGCTGTGCCTCAGCCTCTCCCCCATGCCCTGGGTGAGCTGTGCCAGGGTCAGAAGAAACCCTTTCCGTGCCTGTTAAGAACGGGCATGTGGGGGTACCTGGTACCAGGGGACAAAGCTGTCTGCGAGGGAAGAACAAAGCCACAGAGTCCTGAGCATGGCTTCCTTCAGGATGCAGAAGGGAGACCCAGGACAGGGGCCCCATGAGTAGCATCAGGGCTCTCCAGGAGGGACCTGGGGGGGGGGGCTCAGGCCAGTATGGGCCCAAAGCAGAGAACGCAATGTGGGGGTGCCTCCCAGCTAAGCTCAGCCTGGCGCAGCCCATAAAAAACACCTTTCTGAGCCTAACCTGAGAATGCGCACTGCACAATGTACACCACATATGTGGATTTTTAATTTGCCAAAGGGTGTGTGTGCTCACCAGGAAGAAACAGAGGGAGAAAGTACCCCACGACGGGGTATGGCCATGCTACAAAACCCTCTGCTCCACCTTTCCATCCTGCTGGGATTGTGGGCATGTGTGCACACATGTCCAGTATGTTTTTCAAGCTGCTGGGGACAGGACTTGAACCACACAATAGACCATGCGGGATCCACTCCCTTAGCCAGGAGGCCATGGAGCTGGCTCAATGTGTGCCCATATTTTAAGCTCCTTTTTCTGGGGAGAGCTAGTATTGGGGGCACTGAAATGATGTTCCCAGGCTATATTTATTTAAGACAAATAAACGTATGAGCTGTCAACAGTGGTGTCTTCTTTCTCCCTCGTGTGCGTGCACGCAGAGGCATTTGCTCCCACCACGATAGCTGAGCTCACTCCACCTTTATTTATCTTTAGTATTATTTATTTTTTGTAGAGGTTTTTGCTATAGGGCAAGTGCACTCCCCAGAAAGACAGAGACAGAGAGACAGTGAAATTAGAGACAGAGAAATCACCCCCCAGGGGAGATGGCCACAGCGCAGTTCCTTCTCCTCCATTCTCCTCTCAGGATCTTGGGCACGCACGCACACGCTCCCGGCGTGAGTTTAAGCCATCGGGTCCAGGACTCGAACCGCAGTCAACTACATGGGAGTCCAGTGACATAGCCGTTATGCCAACTGCTGGTCCCACATAAATAATTCCTAAAGAGACTTATTTAACTTTATTGTTATTTTCCAGTTTGATCAGGGAGAGTGAGAGAAAAAGCAAGAAAGTGAGAAAGCAAACCACCAGGTCTGGGACTTGAAGTGTGGTTGGCCATGTGGGCGTCCAGCACCTTTAACTACCATGCCATTTGCTGGCCCCACTATTTTTTTCTGAGATTTTTTTGGGGGGTGGCAGGTGGCATAGTGGTTAGGGGCACTAGACTCCCACATGGCCTACTGCAGTTCAAGTCCTGGACGTGGTGGCTTGCTTTGCTTTCTCACCTTCCCTCTCTCTCTCTCACTCTGTCCCTCTCTGGTCAAATTAAGATAAATAAGTACAGTTAAATAAAATAATTCTTTTTTAATCAATTATTTTTCATTTTTATTTATTCATTTATTTCAATTTGACCAGAGAGACAGAGAGAGAGAGAGAGAAAGAAAGCCACCAGGTCCAGGACTCCAACCACAGTCAGCCATGTGGGAGTGTCCAGCGCGTTAACCACCACTCCACCTGCTGGTCCCTAAATAAAATAATTCTTTAAAAAAAATTTTTTTTTTTGCTATAGTGCATGTGTGCTCGCTGGAGAAAGTAAGAGAAACAGAGAGTGAGAAATCACCCCCAGGGGGGATGGCCACACCACAATCCCTTTTCAGAATTTTGGGCAAGCACACACACATGCCCTGTATGAGTTTGAAGTTGCTGGGTCCGGGACTTGAACCACAGTTAACTCTATGGGAGTCCAGTGATATAACCATTATGCCACTTGCTGGTCTCTAGAATTATTTTATTTAATTTTACTCATCTTTATTATTTTTATTTGACCAGAGAGAGAGGGGAAGTAAGAAAGCAAGCTGCCAGGTCTGAGACTCGAACTACGGTCAACCATGTGGGAGTCCAGCACCTCAACCACCACGCCACATGCATAACCCTCACCCCATCTTTATGTGAGGTTTCATTAACATTATCCACCATTTGGAAAGCTGAGGGATCTGAGGTTGGTGACTAACCCTGGATGACAAGGTGCACTACATCATCCAACAGTCATTCAAGGACACACTCAAGAATGCCACGTGGGAAATGCAGATGAGCTGGCAGCAGCGTCAGAAGGATGCTGCAGGCACCTTGGTTGAAACTTGTAATTGGCTTTTGCTGCAGCTCTGGCTTGGCAGTTCTGACAGGGAAGAGAGCGTTCCACTAACTGCAGATTACTGAAGCCTGATGAAATGGCTCAGGCACCCTCATGCGCAAGCTGAAACCACTCTCTGTTAGAACTGAAAAGGTATCCATTCTGGAACCAGCAGTTAGTGTAATGGCTATGTCACTGGACTCCCATGTAGTCAACCATGGTTTGAGTCCTGGACCCGGTGGCTTAAACTCACGCCACAAGCGTGTACGTGCGTGCCCAAGATCCCAAGAGGAGAATGGAGGAGAAGGGATTGCAGCGTGGCCATCCCCCCTGGAGGGTGATTTCTCGCTTTCTGTCTGTCTGTCACTCTCTCTCTGGCGAGTGCATGTGCCCTATAGCAAAAACCTCTAAAAAAAAAAGAAGAAAGAAACAGAAAAGAAAATGTATCAGGTCTGGGTGGTACACATGGTGTGGTGAAGGCGCTGGATTCCCACATGGCAGACAGCAATTTGAGTCCCTTCTCATTCATTCTTCTTTTGGGACTTTTGGACACACACACACACACGCACGTGCATGCGTGTGCACGTGTGTCCTAATGTGTTTTCCAAACTACTAGGTCCAGGACTTGACCCACGCAGCTGGCCAGATGGGATCCAGCCACCTTGACCTCCATGGCACCAGCTGGTCCCAACCTAACTTTTTTTGTAAGGTTTTTGCCATAGAGTGCATGCACTTCTGAGAGAGACAGAGAGACCATGAAATGGAAAGTGAGAAATCTCGCACACATACACACACACACACACACACACACACACACACGGGGATGGCCTCACCTACAACCCCCTCTCTCTTCCATTCTCCTCTTGAGATTTTGTGCACATACATTCACACACACCCAGCGTGAGTTTCTTCCTTTTTTGAGATGAGTATTTATTTAATGGCCAGATAATTTTTTAAAAAACATTTATTTACTTATTTATCTATTTGATTTGTTGTCCTTTTCAAGCCACTGGGTTTGAGACTTGAACTGCAATTGGCCATGTGGGAATTCAGCACCTTAACCACCATGCCATCTGCTGTCCTCCTGGCATGGGTTTCAAGATTCAAACTGTGGTCAGTCATATAGGAGCCCTAACCACTACGCCACCACCTGCTAGTCCCCCAGTTTTACATTTTAATATGGTTTTTTTTTTGCCTTTTTAAAAAATAATTGTTTATTTAATCCATTTGTTACTATTTTTAAAAATTTCACCAAAGAAAGACACAGAGAGAGAAAAGAAGAAAGCAATTCACCAGGTCTGGGACTTGAACTGAGGTCAGCCATGTGAGACTCCAATGCCTTTACCACCACGCCACCTGCTGGCCCCCATAGGTATTACTCTTAATTATAGTTAAGGTCCTGCTACCTGCCTGAAAATGCCTTATGTAGTGAGGTGTCTGCTGCTGCTCAGGGGGATCCCTTAATTTCCCTTTCCTTCTTTTTTTTTTTTTTTTTTTTGAGAGGTTTTCACTATAGGGCACGTGCCCTCGCCAGACAGAGACAGAGAGACAGAAAGCAAGAAATCACCCCCCAGGGGAGATGGCCACACCGCAATCCCTTCTCCTCCATTCTCCTCTCGGGATCCTGGGTGTGCACGCACACACACCTAGCGTGAGTTGAAGCCACCGTGTCCGGGACTCGAACCACGGTCGACTACATGAGAGTCCAGCGACATAGCTATTATGCTAACTGCTGGTCCCAATTTCCATTTCCTTCTAGTCAAGGGGATTTCCCACGCTCCCTTCCAGGCTGGAAATGAGTTTGCCACAGGGACAGTTGGAATAAGGTATTTAGGAGAGAGTGCCGTGTGGGCCAAAGCTGGAGGGGAGAACTGTCCCAGAGAAGCCTGATGGTCCATTTCAAAGGTTTTAAGGCAAGGGGAGGTGGAAGTGGAAGTGAGGGAGGCAAGCCTCGGCCTGAGAGTGAGCCAGTCCTGGCTAGGAGGTGAGCAGAGTGCTGGGCAAGAAGGGGCCCTTGGAAAGAGGACCTACGACCTGACTTGCTGCAGTCCCTCCCACGTCTCACAAATGCTCACCTCTGGGGGGGGATGAGAGGGTCTCTCTGAACCCCACTGCCTGCTGTCCCCACTTGTGTCCCTTGTTCCAAATGCCCTGGGATCTGCCTCTGAGGGTAGTCAGCCTCCCTGCAGAGACCCCGTGCTGTGTTCCTGTCCCACAGTACTCAGCGAGAGCGGTCGAGAAGGGAGGCACTTCTGGGGCGAGATCTGTGGCCCAGTTTGGGCGGTAATGTTCGACCCCATGGATCTGGCTGAGTCCAGACCCTGCAGCCTGAATACCATGCTGGGCACATGAGCAGGCATGCCCAGCAATCCTGAGAGGGAGAGAGATGGAGAAAGCACTGTGGTGTGACCATTGGGCATGTCTCTCTCCTCCCCTCCTCACTCTCTATAGCGAGCACTGAAGAAAAAAGAAATTAGGCACTTCTAAAAGGTTTGATAAATGAAATTAAATGAAAGAAGGCGCAGCTATGCAGGGGTCCTAGAGGCATGGGCTGTTTCCTCCTCCTGCAGAGGAGAGAGCTGTGGCCCTGGCGCCGCTGGAGAACCCTGTGCCCTTCCACTGGGAACGAGAGGTGGGCAGGCTGGAGATGCTGAGCGGCTGGGCTGCTGGAGAGCCCACCTTCACCCTGCCTCAGTGGGGTGGCCAGCTGGGCAGGACCCCATCCTTCCCCACCCCCACTCAGACCCCCAGTCCCAGAGCAGCCCCGCCCTCCCACATCCAAGCAGTGCACACCACAGACCACAAGGTGGCGCCAAGTGGTCGATCGGCCCCTTCCCGGAGACCGGGCAGGTCCTTTGTCTCGCAGCCTCTGCGCTGGGTGGGGCGCTGGGCCGCCTCTGGGGCAGGGGTCTGAGTGGGTGTTGAGCAGGGATTCCCTGGTGAAGAAGCTCCTCTGCCTCGTGGTTCGTGTTCAGTAGCCCCCTCGTTTGTTTTCACAATAACCCTGCGGGCAGGTGGGACACGACGTGACCTGGCCAAGGCCAAGCCCCATATTTGGGGTCCTGGCGGTTTGGAAAGTCCCGGGGCCTGAAACCAGGTGCCTTAGTTAAGCGCTGGCTGCTCCGCGTCCTCACCGCCGCCTTCGAGGTCCCGCCCGTCCTGAGGCCTGGTGGCATCGCTGGTGAAATGGGGGTCGTGGAGTGGGGGCAG